CCTGGAGGAGACCAGCCAGTCATAGGATAAAGGTGTTTCAAGGAGACCTGAGGAAAACTTGTCTCTCTGGCCAAGACACTTCTTAACTCTAATGCTTTGTAATGATTCCATTTTTTTTTTCATTTAGGAAGATCTTTCTGTTTCTCTGTCTGGCCTCAAACTCAGAATCTTCTTGCATCAGCTTCCCAAGTGCTGGTATTACATACAGGCAGACCTTTCAAAGCAGCTTAGTTCATTTGTTTTTCTTGGTTCCTGTCAGCCCTTTATGCCTACATCTCAGAATCAGCTCATCAAATATCTCATCTCTACTGGGATTTTGATTGGGATTTCTAGACTCTATAGATCAATTTAAAGGAAATTTCTGTCTTTAGAATACTATATCTTTCCAGGTGCATAGTGTGTCTATTCATGTTTAGATCTTCTGTAATAATCTTCCAGAACATAAGTAATATTCTTTACAAATATTTGCTTGCATTTATCCTAGGTATCTCACTTTTGTTGTTTTGTTCCATATGTAAATATCCCTTAAAATTAAATATATTATATCTTGATTTGGTAAATGGAGACTTTAGATTCACTTTTAAATGTATGGAAAGATCAGAGACATGTATCTGGTTTATTCTGGGTATTTTTGTGCATGATGGGGATTCTCTCATATATGCTCATTTCGATGGATGGGAAAATATTATAACCTTTTAAATAATTTACTAGATGAATTAATATCTTACCTAGTCTTGAAACACAGAGAATGAGAAATTGTCTGTGCACAAAAATATGAATGTATGCACACATATTGAGTTAATGAATACAAACCTAATCTGGAATGCTAGATGCTTTTAAATTTACAGTCACTGTCTTATACAATGCTATGTAAAAGCCTTTTCTTCTTTGCCTTCTTTTAATACACTAAAGGTTTGCACCACAATTTAGTGTTGGCTTTTTCTCTTGAGACTCTAACTGTATTAATGCATCTCTGCATTGGTATTGCAGACTTTCTGTAGGAGTAAAATGGCTCAGGATATCAAGCTGGGAAATCAGAACTCTAGGGCCAGGTTACACAGAATTTAGTTACATGTAATATACTCTGGAGGGAATTTTATTTGTTGTCGTGTACCTAGCTTTTTTGGAGGGGGAACCACTTTGGTTTTCTAGTCTAGGGAATGATTGATGCATTCACAAAAGGAAAATTTCTGCAGTCTATCAGAAACTGAAACTCTACTCTGAAAACCTACCCCATAGATTTCACTCTAGAGTTGCCACAAGAGTCATTTTGATTCTGTACCTTAAATATTAGGTTCTCTAAATGTCCTGAATCTTTTATCTTCATTCTTAGCCATTCCTATCCAGCAAGACACATTTAAAAGTCTTCATTTGTTAATCTAGCTGCAAGGAGACCTTACATTTTTGTTCTTCAAATCTTAGACAGTTTCACTAAAAGTCAGACAGATTTAATATATAAACTTTCATACATCACACTTTTTCTACACAATATACTTTATTGCCTTTTCACTTTCAAGTTTCTTCTTCATCTGTTTCTCTATCCCTCCAATCCTACACCTCACTTTCTCCCCTTAAATGTAAGGTAGAAAATCTTCCCTGAAGATGTTTGAGCCTTGTTCACATAGATAAAATCTCCTTGGGCCTGTTTCCTGAATTACAGAATTTCCCTTCTTTGATTAGCAACTAAATGATATTAACTCTGACTGATTTAAATCTTCATGAGTCAGAGAGAAGGATTTATTGACTTCTAATCATTTAAATGAGTGTCAGTGTTTGGCGCTTCAGGGAGCCTTCTAATTTTGGCACTATTTGCTTCTTTGACTTTGCTCATTTTCTGATAATTGTGATAAAGTTTCACTATATAACCAGGTTAGTCTAGAACTCATTCTTAGCCCAGGTTGGTCCCAAAGTCACAATCCTCCTGTTTTAGCCTTCTGAATACTGGGATTAAAGGCATGCACCACAATGCCTGGTACTTAGTTCCTTTTTAAATTTTTTTCTCTATTGTTTACCATGAATAATTTCTATGCTCTATCTTCAAGTTCACTTTTTCCTCTGTAATTTTATTTTGGCTGTTAATAATCACCAAATAAAAAAATAAAAAATTTATTTCTGAAATAATATTCAGTTAAAGAATGCTCATTTTGATGTTAAGGGTTTTTTTATTTTGATTTGCTGAGATTTTAAAAAAATTGATGTGAGATTTCCATTCATTGAAAACATGGGATTTTAAACATTTTTAATTGAATTTTTGCAATTTTCATACAAGATAATTTGACGGTATTTAGATCTCCTTCCCTATCTGCACATCCCCTTATTGCCCCCACCCAATTTAATGTACTCTAACACACACACACACACACACACACACACACACACACACACACCTGTAGAGCCTAATTTGTGTCCCCAAACATTCTTCAGTGTGTTCATCCACTGGAGTCTAACTTACCTAGAGTCCCATCCTTGAAAGAAACTGACTCTCCCCCTCCCAGCTGCCATTGGTTGCCAAAAGTTCCTTAGATAGGATTGGGATTTCTTACCCACTTCCACGTTTGTGCTTGGGTTTTGTCTAGTTTGAGCACAGGACTTGTGCATGCTGTCACCATTGTTGTGAATTTATATGAGTAACTGAACAGTTGTTGGGAACACTCTACTTCCTTGTGGTCATCCACCACCTCTGGCTCTTACAATCTTTCTACCTCCTCTTCTGCAATGATCCCTGAGCCTTGGGAGGAAGAAGTTTGATATAGGTGACCTATTCAGGGATAAACATGCTACAGCCTTTTGTTCTCTGCACATTGGCCAATTGTGGGTTCCAGCGTTAATCACCATCTGCTGCATAAGGAAACTTTTCTGGTGAGAGTTGAGAGATGCATTAATTTATGGGTACAGCAATGCTTATTAGGAGTCATTTTAATACTATTTAGAATAACTATTTAGTATAAAACTGGTATTAGGTTTTCCCTTATGCCCTGTGATCTATCTAGCCTCAAGTTCCTATGCCTGATAATCAGTGTCAGATATGGGGTCCATCCTATGAAGTAGACTTTAAATCAAGGACAGAATGGTTGGTTACTCACATAATATTTGTGCCACTATTTCACTGGTGGGCATATCTAATCAGGTCAGTTGTTCTTATAGTCCAGAGGATTCACAGCCAGGTAAAGTTAATGATTATTTTTCCTTCTGGCAGCATGCATAGCACCTTCCAGCATGCCAGGAGAGATGAGGCTCTGAAGTCAGCACCAGCATGATTTCTCCTTGTCTGTTCTACTGCTCATGTATGTAATATCTTTAGCAATAGGGTCTTACTATCAAGTTCTGGTGGGTAACCAAGAGCAGGGTCTATGGGACCCCCGGTCAATGGCTTCAAGAAGTGAATCCATTCCTGACATTTGAGGTTTTATTTTGTTAGCCTATGGTGCCTAGTAGGGGCAATGTCTCCCTGTTATTAGGTAACTCCTTTAAATCTGTTTTTATAATGTATATGTATATACTTTAGTAAGCTTCTATAGTTGTGGGTTTCCATATGTTTTTTTTCTACAGGCCTTTAGTGTTAGTTATTCCTCCCCATATACCCTCCTCCACCCTGCCCTCCTATTCCACACCCTATTTAACTATTCCTACTTTATTATTCTCCTCCTTCCCCTCTTTTTTGTCTTTTTGAGACAGGGTCTCCCTGAAGCCCCAGCTGGCCTGTAATTCACTATGTAGACCAGGCTGGCCTCAATCTCACAGAGATCCATCTGCCTCTGCCTCCCGATGTTCCACCATACCCAGCTTCCTTTCCCCCTTTATATCACTGTATTCTACCACCCCTCCCGAAAGCCTCCACCCCCACCATGGCCATTTATTAGTTTCCCGACTTCTCTGGATTTTCACATTGACACATGCATATATCTAGGATTTTAAAGCTAGCATCCAACTATGAGAAAGAACAGGTGATATTTGTCTTTCTGAGTCTGGGTTATTGCACTCAGGATGACTGTTTCCAGCTCCATTCATTTTCCCGCAAATTTCATAATTTCATTTTTTTAAGAGCTGAGCAAGATTTTTATTGTGTATATGTACCAGGTCACTTCCAATTTCAGGCTTTTATGAAAACGGCAGCAATGAACATATATGAACAGGCATTTATGTAGTAGGGTATAGAGTCTTTGGGGCATATGCTCAAGTGGTATGGTAGATCAGTTTATAGCTTTTTGAGGAATCTCCACACTGATTTCCATAGTGGCCGCACCTTGCCTCCCATCAGCAGTGGATAAGTGTTCCCCTTTCTCCACATCCTTGTCAGCATGTGTTTGGAAAACATGCTTTGTTGTACTTCATTGATATTGGTTATAATGGTTACATTAAAATCCTTGTCTCTTTCAACAGAGGGTTCTTAGTCTATTATGTTGGAAAGTATAAGTTCTATTCTACCTGCAACTTTTAATTTTAGAAGTCTTTTCTTTTTTTTTTTTTTTTTTTTTTTTTTTGCCCTGGTTAATAGTGTAGTCTCCTAACCACTTCCTGTTTCTACCCTCGTTCTCTCCAGTCTTTCACCATCACTTGGAGTGATTCTGTATGTATCAGGAACCTCCACTGGCTCCCTATGTCATTGAGGGTAAATCCAAACCTGCTTACCAGGTGCTCCTCCTTGGTTTCTAAGGCTATGTTTATGATATTTCTCAGTACCCGTTTACCATATTTCTGCTAATCTTGAAAGGTTTCTGCTAATCTTAAAAGTAGTTCTACTTTAAAGTTCCAAGACAGGGCTTGAAGGAAAAGGCCTGGATGTGAATATAAAGAAGGCTTAAGAAACCCTCATTTCTCAACTGCGAACACGGACTCGAGGGTTGAAGGTCTCTGGAATCAGGTTATTCGTGAACATTTTCACAATCCGTACTTACTACACATATGAGTAAACCAGCAGAAAACCAGCGCATTTGCGCAGGTGCTGGCTGTCCTTGTTAGAGGGCGTGGCCAAGCCCCTACTTTCCTCGGAGTCTTCAAGGGTGGCGGGAAGCGGAACTCTGGAAGGTTCACCGCGGCTTCTGGTCGGACCCGGGTCGCAGTGCACCACGGGTGCTGCACAGGCGGCATGGAGGACCGCGGCGATTCCGAGCCTTCTGCGGGCTCCAGCGGCCCAGAGCTGGGCGGCGCTCGCGGTGGCGGTGGCGCTCGCTCGTGGGCCCCGGAGGACGCCTGGATGGGCACCCACCCTAAGGTCAGGAGGTGGGAGACCCGCAGGCGGAACTCCGGGCCGAGCTCCCTCTTGGCTGGCGGGTTAGGGGAGGACGCACCACGAACCAGTGTTCAGGCACAAGCACATTTATGCTTAGCCCTGGACCCGAAGTCTGTTCACTTTGATTCTGATGGATGCAGTCCTAAGTTTTCAGATTCTTTAGAACGTTTGAATAAGTTCTGGCCCAAATGCAGAAACATCCACGTTATGAGTATTTTTTGTACTAGCAGGAAGGGAAAAAAGAATAGTCTTTTGCTTGCCTGGGCTTGGGAAATTGATGGTTTGTATCTGTAACGCCACGGTCAATTAATCATGAATGGAGATGTGGGTTTTTTAGGGACCTCAAGGACAGGATTGGTAACGTTAGTACAATTGCACATTTCTGTTTGAGAGTATTAACTCACAGATAATCGGCTAAAAACAATCAAGAAGAGGAAGTCTTTGAAAACTAGTCTGAAAAGAGTGAGCTTTTTTTCACCTGTTGCTTGATTTTTGTCTTCTTGCTCTGTCCCATTCATCTCCTCCAGAGCAATAGCATGGAAATGTTACCCATTTTTATAATAACAATGACAGCAACTCAGTGACTAGGAACACAAACTCCAGTTCAGACTTTCCAAGTTTGAATCTTAGTTCCACTACTTACCCCTTTGTGGTTTGGTTGAGCTCACTGTGCCTACATTTCTTGACTTGATTTCATTATGTTTCAGTTTCTTCATCTAAAAATTGTGAGATAATAATAGTACTTTCTTCATAGGGAAGTTTTTATAAGTACTTGTTATATAGAAAGCAGTATATAAGTATTTAGGAGTAACGTTTTAAAGCCATTTCTAGATTTGATGTTGCCTTTAGACTTTTTTTTAATTTCCTCTTTGAAGTTAATAGCTCTATGGACTTT